GAAGTGCCCATCACGGCCCTGAGTGAGCTTGGGGAGGTCACACTGCGTATGTGCCCTCCAGGGGGCAGTGCTGTTCCTGAGGAAAGAATGGGGCTCGCAGAGGTTCCTGTAAAGTTGCTCCTCTCACATTGCAAAACCAAGCCTCCCTCTGCTGGGCCCTCATTTCACCCACCACAAAAGAACCTGCCTGCCTTTGGTCAGATCCCGCAGGGTGAGCTATCAAAGCAGAAACGCTAGGTTAGGGCTCCTTCCTGCAGTGTGAAGGCTTGCAGACTCCCTCATATCATGAAAGAAAAAGAATCTGGATCCTCTGAGAGGGACCTCAGCGACAGCAGATGGCAGCAGCCCTCCCTCTGAGCCACGGATGGACGGTAACCTTCCTGCTTGTCAGCCCAGCACCCACTTCTCAGCTCAGTCATTCACTCTCCAAGCAGGCGTTCATTTAAAAGAGTCAAGGACTCGGAATTCTCTTGCTTGAATAAAAAGTCCAACAAAGCTATGGGTTTTACTTCACCTTTTGAATATTGGGGAAAAAAAAGAAAATTTCAAAGCTCTTCCTTAAAAACAAAACAAGTATTTTTTTAAATCTTTGATAAGACATATATATGAATTTAAATATCATAACAGGGGCTCACATTATTATAGCAACCAATCAGAAGCTCATACTTTCAGGGGCTAAGTCACGGAGGGTGACTTTTTAAAAAAATATATTTTATTGATGTTTTACAGAGAGGAAGGTAGAGGGATAGAGAGTTAGAAACATCGATCAGCTGCCTCCTGCACACCCACTACTGGGGATGTGCCTGCTACCAAGGTACATGCCCTTGACCAGCATCGAACTTGGGACCTTTTAGTCTGCAGGCCAATGCTCTATCCACCGAGCCAAATCGGCCAGGGCCGGAAGGTGACTTTTATGTCATATGGTTCTGAGGGGCTCTGTAGGAGAGGTGGCAGGAAATACATGGTACCCAGGCTGGCCTGTAGTTAAGCAGTTAATGCAGGCTTTCCCCTCCTGAAAGTCCCACTCGGAGACAATGGGCTTTCACTAAGTTAGGTGACTTGTAATGGACAGTATGCCACACTACTGGCTAAGAAAATAGAATTACTTACTGTAGGAAAAAATAAGCTGAAATCAAGACAGTAGAAGCATTCATGGTGGAAAAGTTGTTGAAACAAAAAGCACTGTGTTGTCCTTAAGTTTCAGGAAAATTAGAAATTATCTAGATTTATGATTTATGATGCTTCCAAAAGGGGAACAAGTGAAATTGTTTATCTTCACCACCAGGATTGAAGGAGTGAGGGCTCCATTTGACAGTTATTGTAACTTTCACAGTAGCCATTGTTTCATATCTTTATCTGATTATATAAAACTAGGGGCCTGGTGCACGAATTCGAGCACAGGTGGGGTCCAGCCGGCCTGCCCCACTCGGGCCGGGCTGGCTGTGGGGAGGGGACATGGGAGGTTGGCCGGCCGGCCCCACCCTGGGCGAACTCCGGCTGAACTCCTGGTCCAGGGGACAATTTTCATATTACCCTTTTATTATATAGGATAAGGTTTGTTAAATGATAAAATTGAGTTATCATAAAAGGTACTAATATACATTCCATAATAGGTAAACCAATAGAGTGAAATGTACAAATACAGATATAGACTATATGCAAACTTAATTTAAAAAATATATTTTTATTGATTTCATAGAGGGAGAAGAAGAGAGAGAGATAGAAACATCAATGATGAAAGAGAATCATTGGTAGGCTGCCTCCTGCACTCCCCTGCACTGGGGATTGAGCCCACAACCCAGGCAAGTGCCCTGACCGGGAATCGAACCATGACCTCCTGGCTCATAGGTCAATGCTCAACCACTGAGCCATGCTGGCTGGACTGCAAACCTAATTCTGAATGAATGTGACATGTCAATTCTGTAGAATGCAGAGTTTTAAAAATGAGACCAGCATAAATGCATACTGTTCTGGAAGAAAAAATATTGCCCCATCATACCATTTATATAATTAAAACCCAGGTGGATTAAATATCTAAACTTTAAATATACATGTATTATTTTATTTTGACATGAGTATTTATATAATGAGTTGATAATAACAATTAAATAAACAATACAAGAATCCCCCAAGCTATAAGATATTTGATCATATTAAAAACTATAGATGGCATGTCCTGGCGCTCAGTTGGTTGGAGCATTTTTCCCATACTCCAAGGTTGTAGGTTGGATCCTGGTCAGGGCACATACAAGAAACAACCAGTGAATGCATAAATTGGTGGAGCAACAAATTGATGTTCTCTCTCT